CCCCCTCCCCTGCCCCAAAAGACCCTCTTCCGCCTCAAAAAATTTCATAAACCAGACACAACCGCAACCCTTCCCCCAAATAATAAAGACCAATCCTGAAACACCCGCACCCCCCCCCCAAAAAATTGAAAATCATCTCCCAGGTACGGCCCCATCCTGCTGCGCCCCCTGTCATTTGTTCGCGGCCTGCGCTGCCTTTTTGGGGACCAGTCCATCTCATGCAGGGCGGCCGACTTCAGGCGGCTCGGCGGCTTTGATGAGCGGTGGCGCATAATGGAGGTGGGGGGCGTACGGGGGCCTCGCTTTGGCGGATTCAGGCCGGTAACAAGATCTCTGCACAAACTCGGCGTTTGATTACGCACGCGCCGCCCTGAACGCCGCCGCCGCCGCAGCCGCCGCCGCAGCCGCCCGCAGTCTTCCCCCAGCTTGTGTTTGTTCCTGCATGCTTGGCGGCCCCAAAGCCCCCGCTTTGCCTCACTTCAGCTTCGACGGCGTTTGTTGTTCCCGTCCGCCCCGTCGACAGCGCCGACGCTGTGTCCAACCCGCTTGCTCCTCAATCCGCCCCTTCCGCGATCCGCTGCCGATACGAAATACACAATCTTTCTTCAAATGCAAAAACGAATCGAAACAGGATGCCCAATTCTGCATCGACATGCACATGATGGGCCCGCCCTGGCGCCCCGCCCCGCGCGATGACGTCAGCGGTGACGTCAGCGGCCCCGCCGCCAGCAGCCCGCCGAGCCGCGGCGGCCCGCGGGCCGCGGCGGCGGCGGCGGGGCCAGCGCCGGCGCAGGGGCTGTTCCCCGGGCGGCCGCGCGGGAGGGTGCTGTTTCTGACGGACAAGGCGGGCTCGACCAGCGGGCGGCGGCTGGCGGCGTGGGGGCCGCTGCGGGCGACAGGGATACACCTGGCCATCAGCCTGGCTTGGTACATCACGCAGGTTAGGGCGGAGGTGGTAATATATCAAAATTTGTTTTTCTGGCAGTCTCTTGCGGTATGTCTTCCTTTCATGGGCTTCACAATCGACCCTGGGATTTGATCGAGTTGGTGACGCAGGGATGCAGCATGTGGGTGTTGCTGGTAAGTGTGGGGATTTTTTTGTGGTGAAGTCAACGTTTGACCGGGGGGATTGAAGTACAGGGTGCAGCCACCTCAGGTGGCGCCGCTTTTTGGGTTTTTGGGGCGAGGGGGGTGTCGAAGTGCGTCATCATGCGCGCTGGGGGCACCAGGAGAACGTACTGGCCGCCCGCCCAGGGCCATGTCTCCAGAGCTTGATACGATGTCATTTGACCCCAATCCACCTACTGCTGCGATTCAAGTTAGTGATGCCTTTGGATGGCATAGGTGCCGCTTTGGGCCCGCCCAACAGTCTTGATGCCCTATCGTCCTCGGCATCCATTCACTGCCCATCTCGTGCCCTCACTCCACGCCTCACTCCACGCCTCATACCTTCATTCACGCCTCACGTCCTGCCATAATTGCCTCACTTCGCACCTTGATTCACGCCTCACTTTACGCCTTGACTCACGCCAGGACGCCGAGAAGGTGGAGGAGCTGTACGAGCGGCTGTACACCGACAAGTACCGCTGAGGCGGATGGATCCGTACCGCTGAGGCGGATGCATTCGTACCGCTGAGGCGGGTGGACCTGTACTGCTGAGGCGGATGGATCCGCACTGCCAAGGCGGATGGACCCGTACCGCTCTGCGCAGGGATGGAGCCACACCTTCCCCTGTGGCATGCGTGCATGCGCGCATGGACGACCGATCCCAGCAATTGCTGCGCTGACGAGGGCTCAGTGCCACGCAGCAAAACACACAATCTGTTGAACAAGGAATGCTAGATACATCCAAAAACATACACATTTATACGAGCATGAATACCTCCAGGACGGATGCAGGCGCCCCTGCGTGGGTGCGCCGTTTGGTCGGCACGATTTCCTGGCCGGTGGTCACCAGCCCATGAGTTGCACGATGGGCGTGCGATAATACCAGAGTGCGCCACTGCACCCGCCGGCTCTTGTTGTCCGCAAGTACTGCAGAGGCGCGCAGGTCAGGCGTCAACACTGAAATTCCATTCTGCAGCCTGCACCGGCTGGCAAACCCTGTCACTGGTCACGTGGCAGGCACACTGGATTTCGACAGAAGCCGGGCAGGCCCACTTGAGCGCAGCGCTTGCACCGCAGATCGTCGCGGAGACCGGCTGCGGGCGCCACCTTCCGGCGGCCGCCGTGCCACCAGGCATTGCAGGCAACAGAAGCCCACCAGCCAGGTTCCCGCGGCTGGCAGCGCCTGCCTCCCCAAGCACATGTTGCTCTTAATACTTCATATGAATTCCGCCGTGCCTGGCTGTAATGCACCGCATGGCATGATTTTGCGGGCCAGCTTTCGCCCGTGCCACCTGGTTTGACCCAGTTGCAAAGGCAGGAACAGGGCGGGCCGTGGTGGTGCAGTCGCGAGCGCGTCGCGCTTGCCATAGTCCCTAGCAAATTGGTTCCTGAGTCTGGAATCCTGCTGTCCGCCGCCGATGGTGCCACAAAGCACACAGCAGATCCTTGGGCATGGCACAAGCTCGCCCTGCTGCCGCACAGCTGAGGCAACCCCCCCCCCCCCCGACCCCACGCAAACCAGCTGTCAGATGCGAGGCAGCGGTGTCAACGCACGCGCCAGTTACAGCTCAATGCAGCTGCACATGGGCACCAAAACAGACGTGCGTGCGAGCATATGCAGCGGTCGATGATTTGGTCCGAGAGACCCGCGGAAACCAAACAGGCAGCAGCACAAATACTCAACATTTCGCCAACACGAGCCGCAGCCGGGGCCACGACGCAGGGGGCCCGCGCCCAACAGCGACGCCTGGCCCGGCCGCCTCGACGCCAGCCCACGCCGCTTGCACGCGCAAGGCGCCAACCCCACACGGCCAACCGCGCGCCCGTGCACGTGCACGTGTGCCGAGACGGGCAGTCGCTACTTGCGTCTCGGTGGACAGTGTGAGCGTGACCCCCGGCCCCACGTTGTAGTGCGCGGGGGCCCGTGCCCACGGCAATGCCCGGCCGCCGCGCCGTCAGCCGACAACCGCCGATGCCGCGAGCACGCGCCTCGACCCCAACGCCCCGCCGGCCGCGCACGCGTGTAGCGCCCTCGCGCAAGCTCTCCTGCAGAGCCCTCTACTTGCGGCCACGCGTCTTGGTGGACAATGTGAGCGTCACCTCCGGCCCCACGTTGTAGTGCGCCAATGAGAAGTGGTCCGACAGGAAGCCGACGTTGTCGCGGTGCAGCTTCTGCTTGTTGGCGGGCAGCTCCAGCACCTCGGCCAGGCGGCCTTTAAAGTGGCCAACCTGCCCGGGGGGGGGGGGGTCCAGTGGCGGTTGGGGTTTGGGGTTCAGAAGGTGCTGGTGGTGGTGGTGGTGGTTTTGGATTTGGGTTTATGCGGCGCTGGTGGTGGTTATGGTTATTGTAGTGGTGTATGC